AATTCCCATAAACTATATGTGTCGTTATCTCCCTATGTGAGTCGCTATAACCATACAATGACAGAGATGACTTGCACGCAATGTTATTCAGGCGTCGAAATAGATATGACATTTGTCACCCCCGACTGATCGGTCGAGCTGTTGCAAGCAGCATGGGTGTGGGTTGTCAATACCAATATAGATCTATACACAATTATCACACTCTCCCTACAAGAGACTTTGGTTATAACTAACAGTCATTTTAACTCGTACTCTAAGAGTACAATGAAGACTAGTCTCACAAATTACGATAACGAGTTTACGTGTAATGTAAGTGTAAAACCTTTTCTGTGGTGGGATTGAACCCCCTTTTCGTTTAGTATATTTGTAATGTGAAATCCATAAACTATACCTATTATAGTTTATCGTGTAGTAAATGAAACCCGTTTGTATTAAGTGTAAAACCTTTTCTGTGTAAGTAGTAGTTTAGCAAAACATAACTATACTTATCATGTTTCATCTTGTATTGTTTGTAATGACAAAGAACTCTTACATTTTAGTGAGTGATTTCTGTTATATAAATGTCATTCAACAGAAAACACATGTAACATATGAAGTCATCAAAGATAAACACTTTGCTCAACATGTTACAAAGTGTTATAAAAGTTGTAAGTTGTTTAACTAGTTTTTAACTTTTCTATAATGTTTTAGAAAAATCACAAAAAATGATACGAAGTCAAAAACTTAATCCGTAAACTCTGAGAGTTTAAAAATGTGTCTAGTTTTTTCATCATTTTTATTATGATTTTTAGTGATCTCTAACTTGTGTGAAAATGTTAAACTTCATAGACTGGTCCGAAGTTGTAGCTACAGTGATAGGCAGTTTTGTAAAAATCACCATAAATTGTAGAAAAGTCGTATGAACATGTGAAAGTAGTCATTTTAAAGGTATAAACCTGAACTATTTGCATATTAAACAGTTTTGAAAGACTTTAAGTTTAAGTTGGTCAAAACAGTTCGTGAATGAACCTTAACTTTCCTGTTGAAAGCTGATGTTTGAATTTAGTTAAGTTTTTAGTTTTAACTTGTATCACCTTGACTGATTTCTTGGGATGGATGATGAAGAGAAGATGTTTCCAAGTCAAGAACACTTAGAAGATGCTTGGAGATTTGAAGATGCTAAGAACAAATATGTCGATATTTGTGTAAGAAATCCATGATTTGAGTGAAGGTGTGTAGAATGTTCAAATGTGGGATGAAAATACTTACCAAAAGTGAGTGAAAAGCTCAATATCAGCCTTGAAATCTTCAAGTTTTAGAGAGGGAAAGTGACAGAGATACGTTTGCTTTTTGGTGAAAGAGTGAATGTTGTGAGAGGAGAGATAAGGATTTTTCCAGCCTTTGATCAAGATAACTTGCTGGAGAAGAGTGTGAGAGGACAAATAGCTGACTAACTAGAGATGAATAGTGACTGGAGGTTGTCATAGAGTGGGTATGGGAGATAGCTTGTGACGTTACTTTATGGGAAAGTCAACACTCATAATCAATATCTTGTACAAAAGATATTATTCTTAGATAAAGATTTCCCCCAAAATGTGATTCAGATATGAATATATATATAGGGTCTTATATGTCAAAATATGAGTTTGGGTGAAAATCTCATGTTAAAATCATGAAAAACGGGCTTAAAACGCAAAAGTGGTCGAAAATCGGAACCAAGAAGCGAATCTGCGAGAATCCAAGATTCAGAGGCGAGAGTTCGATTGGTGCGAAGCTTGGTCCCTAAGAACCGAGAGAAGGCTTGGTCCAAGCAGCGTTGCAGGCGAAACTCGTTGATGGGAACCGAAAGCAAAGGCAGACGAATGGGTAAGAGGAGCGAAGGTGAAGAGGTTTCGGGCCAAAGGCTACTTCGATTCGCTTAGAGTTCGGTTCGCTTGGAAGTTCGGTTCACTTGGAAGTGCGGTTCACTTGGAAGTTCGGTCTTCATGGTTTTGGTCTGAAAGGGACCTTCAGCTTCGGCTCTTAGTAATTTCGCTTCTTAGGGTTCAGTTTCTACGGTTTCGGCCCTAAATAGTTGTTTTTCATATAAACTTCCCGTTTTGAGCGGTTTTTGACTAAGTTAAGGGTCGAGATGCCCCGAGTGATTATAAAAAGTTGAAAGAGGTTGTGAGAGAGATTTAGGAGAGAGAGAGAGACTTTGTTTGTGAGCTTTGCGAGTGTTTAGCTTCGAAATGCAAGGTTTGTAAACCCCATTAAGCCTCGTTATGAGTGTTATACGTCCTAGGAGGGTATGTAATAATGTTTTATCGAGTAGTTCCATCACTTACCCTGATTAGGGTTTAGATTTTTCTGCACACGTGAAAACTCAAAGTGATACTTTGTATTAAGATAGTGTGTTGTACAATAGTAAACATATGTAAACCCTAATATACAAGTGTTAATTGAGTTGACTGGTTTGACTCGTTGACTTTATTGACTTTGACTTGACTAGAAATTGATGGTTGTCACACCACCCAAACTAATCCTTAACTCTTCTGCAATTTCATTCACTTCACTTTCATGAGTTTTTAGCTGATTGTAAACATCATTCAGAGTAGAAAATCGAAGCCATGATGTGTGTTAATCATCAGGCTTACATTCTTCCATTCTTCTCGAAGACCCATTACAAACGTAATGTTGTATTCCATATTAGTCCTTTTGATTCCATACCTTGTGCACTTGTAGATAAGCTCGTTCAGACGATTGTAATACATTTCAATTGTTTCTCCATCTTTCTGCTTGAATTCTCTTAATTCAGTCAAACACTGTTTTACTGACTGATTTTGGTTTTCTCACTCCCGTGGTACTTTTCTTTCAACATATTCGGGATCTCTTTTGAAGTTGTGTAAGTGTGAACATGATTATAGACCATAGGAGGAAGAGCACCACGAAGCTCTCTCATGCATTTATTCTCATACTTCTTCAACCTTTCAGTTTGTTCAGTAACATTTGGAGTTGATGATGATGTGCCTATGCTTTCAACAGAAGAAGGTGGAATTACATCATCAGTAATGCATTTCCATAGCTCTTCATCTATGTCATTCAAGTAATCCTCCATTCGATCAGCCCACTGATCGTAATACTCTTAAATCAGCATTGGAATCTTCGTAGATGATCCAAGGAGATGAGAATACGATGTCATTGTGTTTATGTTGAAATTCGCCATGGATATACTGATGAATTCTCTAAAAACTTCAGAAATTTGAGAATTAATAGATGAATCAGTTAGAATTTTCAAACGGAATACTCGATTAAACAACTCAGTTGTAGAATCGAATCATAACTGTGAATCTAAGATGATTTTCAATGGCAAAAAGGATGTGGAAGTTTTGAATCCAAAAGTGATTCAAAATCCTTTTGACACAGAGTGAAAATCAGATCACAGAAAAAACAATTCTTGCTCTGATACCAAATGTAGTAGAGATTTAAGCGAGTATGAATGTAATCAGAGTAATCAAAGTAATATGAACACGAAGAGTAAATAAGATCTGTTTTATAGCTCAATTATATTTTCAAATACATAGAGAGTATGAAAAGTTCTATCTAACCCTGAGAACACCTCCTATTTATAGGAGAATCAGAAAGTATACAAAAAATATTACGGGCTAAACATCAAAACTTCGAAACATAATATTCCTTAGTAAATAGATAAAATGACTTTCGAAACAGATATCAATAGCTTCGAGACATTACAACATATTTGACACTAACAAGGGTGCTCGACGTGGCTATACTTACATCGGTGTTTTACTTTGTCTTGAGACGTCCGTTGGTTTTATGATATGACATTGATTTGGCATTATGTTTTGATGATTTTGAAAAAAAAAATGTTGTTATGTTATTTATTCAAATGGGTTTTTAGAGGATTGAATCTTATTTTAAAATGAAATTTTTGGAGATTACAAAATATTAGCCATTAAACTTGGAACATATACTAGCAAATGATAGAAGATAGTAAGAGGAAACAAATGTCACATTCATAAGACTAAAAGTTGAAATAAAATTCTTCTAATAAGCACAATATGTACCAACAAAGGTAAGGTAAAACTCAAAGAGCTACTCCTATATTACTCGGCTACATTGATCATACGCATCCACACTCTCATATATGAGGTCATGTCTTCGGAAAGACCTAGCTCATTTAAGTCTAACCACACTATCATCTACTTCCTTCACATATATCTTCTCCTTCTTACACCACATATAATTATTATGCCTACCTTCTTAAGCAAAGTAGTCGATCGTCTTCTATGAACATTTCTAAATCACCATAATCTTCATTCCCTCAATTTCTCATCAATTAAAACAACTCCTATTGAGTTTTTGATCGTGGAGTTAGGAGTCTTCGTGCTAATCAATCACAACATCATTATTTCTACAACCTCCATCTTGTTTCTTTCTTAGTCGGATGACATTCGGATCCATACAAAGGCCTTAAAACCACCCTATATAATTTTTCCTTTAAGTTTAAATGGAAATTTCTTTTCAAACAAGGCTCATGTGGATACTCTCCACTTTATACCTAGCTCATACTAGCACAAAATGGTCCCATTTTCTCACAAAAATCTATAATTAATATCTTTAAGTCGACCCTACTATAAATATGTATTCACGTAATAAATGCAAAACAAACATACGGTTATAGCGGTAATCATTTTATGGAAATTATACATAAACCAAGAACAATCGGTGACAATGAAATACAACATAGACACGATCCACATCTAAATCCAAAATTTACCAAAAAAAACACCAAACGGAATAAAATCAAAATAATGCAACAACCAACGAGAGAGAGAGAGATAGAATGCATCCACACTTTCGGCCTATATTCCCTTTGCACATCTTGTATTATCTTAGGCCATTCTTTTTCTCAAAAGCATCGATTTTGGAGTTTGAAGTCTCGAGTTTTTCACGTTTTTGTAAACTTGATAGCTTGGAATTATTTGACTTTGATGATTTGTGTTGTTTACTTTAAGTCTTTAAAGAGGGTGGTAAGGCACATAACCCAACGTATTCCTCACATTCGTAACAACTTCATTGCACTTTCTCATAAGCCTTAACATTTGTTGTGATACATCCACTTTCTGACCAATATTTGGTCTTTGTAAGTTGTGCACATACTTTCCTCCCACACCCACACCCACTGGTGGTGGCGGTGGTAGTGGTGCCATGTCACCACCATAATTAAAAGATCGTGGTGTTGGTGTTGGTGTTGGTGTTGGTAATAACGGTGGTGCTAGTGGTATTAGTGGTGGTGCTAATGGTATTAGTGGTGGTCTAGTAAATTGAACGCCAGAACTACTACCAACACCACTAGAAGTAGAAAGAGGAAGAGGAAGAAGAGGCAACGATGATGATGTTTTTTGAAAATTCTTACTATTAAAATCCATTGTTGCATGAGAAGAAGAAGAAGAAGAGGAAGAAGAAGAAGAAAAAGAAGATGAACCACCTCCACCTCCATCACCATTCTTTTTGTTCTTATTATGATGACTTTCATCTCCATCCAACACAAATTTTACACGAGCCGCCCCTCTGCTGCCATTACCACCACCACCACTGTCTTCACCGCCGGATTTCTTCAGACATGATTTCAACTGTACTGCCATCTGCTGCTGCTGCTGGTCTTCTTTTACTTTGGCTGGTGGTTCGAAATCCGCCACCGCCCTGAGGCTGCACCTGACGCCGGAGTTCCCAAACAAAGTGCCGCTTCGGACCGCCATCTTTAACGCCGCCTGAGCATCCGCATGGAATTTGAAAACCACCCGACACTGCAATGACTTCCATAATATCCGAGTGGCTTGAAGATCCATTGGTCCAAATCGCACGAATTTCGCCTTCAGTTCATTAATGGATGGCAGAGATCCATCTGGCGGGAACCTCATTATTAGTACAGTCGGCGCTGCCCGCCGCCCCTGCCCGGGGTCAGGCTTTCGGGCAGGTGGAGGGTCATCCAGCTTCTTGATTACCTTCTTTTCTTTGGTTAAGTTTTTTATATCACCGACTTTTTTCTTCTTTCTTGCAGCCATTTCTTCCTGGCGATCGGATGGGGCCCGCTTTCTGCCGCCTTTAGTGGGGTCGTCTGGTCTGGCGGAGATGGTGTTTTCCGGCTTTACAGGCGGCAATTTCACAGTGTTCTCCTCCGGTGACGTGGCGGCATTGTCGGGTGGTGGTGAGGAATTTAAGCTTTTTTGAAAGACAAGTGAGCGGAATTTCAAGAAAACTTGTCTGGTTTTAATGGCTAATCCTTTGTTAATGGCATTGAAAGGATCAAGAGCGAGTGATTGAAGATCATTGAGTATATGTGAAAGCTTGAGTTCTTGAGGTTCTTGTTCTTTTTCTTCAATAGGTTTTTTAGAAGGAAAAGGAATTGGATCTTTTTCATGGATTTCTGTGGTTTCAGAGGATAAAGATTCTTTTTTTCTTTTCTTTTTCTTCTCCGGCGAGATGGGTTTGCCGGAGCTCAGTACTCCGGCAGGTCTTTTAGAAACTTTCACCTTTTTCGTCCCGTTTTCCATTATGTTGACCTTTTTGTCCTCCTCTGTCTTCTTCTCATCATCACCGGAAACGTCTGACTCAGCCTTGGTGGTGGTCGCCGGAGAAGGGTCGCCGGATTCCGGGAGTATAGGTGTAGGTGTGTCTTCTTTTGAAGGTGAATCCGGAAGAATGGGGGGGTTTGTGACTTGTTCCGGTGGTGGTGTTGGTGGTGGTGGTGTTACCGGAGCTCTTTTTTGTAGGACAAAGTCACCGGCGGCAATGGCGGTGGAATCATCAACGTGGCTGAGCTGAGGAGAGGATGGAAGTTTTTCTTTTTCCTTTTGGGGTGGTTTTAGTATCTCTTTAGATTCTTCTCTTCTTTTAAAGAGATATTTGTCTTTTTTAGCATTTTCTTTTGACTTATTTGACCTTGCCGGATTCTTTCCCTTGCCGGAAGTGTCAGCAAACACCTGCCGCCCACTCAAAGGGGCTGTAAAAAATATAACATCACCAGACATAAGTAATGATTTTATTTAGCCTCTTTATAAAGAATTCGCAAGTATTTTATAACCTCCTTATAAACCAATTGAATATTTTAGGAACAACAATTATATTCCATTATAACATCCATCTGCTTTGTTTGAAAGCATAAATTACAAATCACAACAAGAACTGGAATTGTACACTTCATATGTAATATGTACTTCTTCTGTATATGATTTAGTACTCAACAACATAAACTTTAACTGAAGAATTCATGGTAAACAAATGATGCATAAATTATGGTTTTTGTTGACTCAAACTAACGAGTAGAGCTCATGAGAAATGAGAATTGTGATACTTAATCCTGCACAAATGATACAGGTACCTGACTAAAAACTAAGATTCCTACAACAGTTTATTGTTGTGGCCTTGAAGTTCTAAAAAAAACACAACTAAATGCTCAAACGATACTGTAGGTTTCCAACAGGTGTCATGTAATGATAAGAAACAAAGGGCAAAGACCCAGAAAAGAAAAAACAGAAATGAACATAAACAGTATATGAATTGATTACCTTTAGCTGGAGAAGGGCGATCTAGTTCATGACCAAATGCTTGAGCATAAGTGTCATCAAATTCCTCATAAACTGCCCTTCTGTAAGAAACAACCCTAGCTTTGTTCTTTATAAGATCAATACCAACATGCTCAACGTTAGGCTCCAAAGCTAGCTGCCTGATAAAATCAAGAGCTGAACTTGGCTGGAAACTGGCCCTAGCTTTCTCAATAGCATTGATTGAGTATACAGCTCCAGGCTCATAATCAGCTACATCAACAGCATAATACCCTTTAACATCTGTCTTCCTGAAATTCTGCTTACTCCTACACTTACAAGACAAACCAAGTGCATTCCTTCTACTCACCTCATCCATTGCCTCTTCCACAGCTTTGACAAAAGTTTTTGAGTTAGTCTGCCGAGACTTTTCAGCAAAATTTGATTCAAATGGCATAAGTTCTGAAGGATCAAACCATCCATAACTACTATCTCCGAAGAAGGCAACCAAGAGAAGACCCTCCCTCTTTGATCTTCGCACAGAAGTGGTTGCAAATTCTTCACTGAATACATGACCAGGCCACCAAGGGTGGGACTTCACTTTTCCCCAAACCATATCCCCGACTTCATATCCATGACCAGGCGATCCCAGTCCTGATCCCTCCATTGATGACCTAACCTCGGTGGCCACACTCCCATTTGCAGCAAAATCATCAAACATCGAGAGCATTGAATCATATGCAGGCGATACTGATTCTTTTGACTTCGTCTCTTTTCTCCGTTGTCCCTTCTTCTGCTCATTTTTCGTACGCTTTACACTACCATGGTTCCTATCGCTAGACACGTCCTTGTTATCAGATTCAGAAACACCTAACTTGCTCGAATCCCCAGCTCCCCTATTATTTACATCGCTAACATTTTCTTCAGCCGAAACACTATCCAAGCTGCCCTCTGCAACAACACTTTCAACACCCTGCACAACTGTAGAGCTATCGGAGGGGCCAGTTAAATGTATCGATGCGGAATCTACTCTATTCTCTGAGCTACTACCATCAACAAATGATTCCGATTCCACCTTAGGGTTTGTACTATCTCCTAATTCTAAATCGCTGCCCATCATCACTCGCACGTATATCGAGCCCTAGAAAATTGAAATTGACAAACAATACAAATCGGAAACCTGTTGAATTCGTTGAAACATATCTTTCGCGGAAGCGAAAATCATAGAAATGTGCAATAAGTAAACAAACGGTGGTGGTGCCTGGTGGTGGTGTGTATGTGGGTGTGATTATCGAAACCCTAAAAAAGATTTTCACGAGTTTCGTTTTACGTATATACAGATAATACTATTTTATAGAGTAAATTACGTTTTTGATCCTTCTATTTATATATAGTTACGAATTTAGTCCATATAACTTTTTCTTTCACTCTTTGACCATGATATATATGAAAGTGGACATTTATACCCTCACAACAATCAAGACTTAATTATGACTTAATTAACAGTTGTTATTTTAGTCCATTGTTTAAAAACTATGAAATTGTTCGGCTAAAAACCAAAATCAAATCTTAATCTTAATAATTATTAAAAGAGAAACCTAAATTCTAAAATGAAAAAATAATGACGCTTGATTGATTTTCAATCATAACTTTTCCACCTTTGGATCTTTCTACTGATCATGTCTTTTTTCCCGTCTAAAAAAATTAGTATGCGATTATGATTATCTTGTATCCATATATTTCGAATAAAATTAAAACAATTGCCATAAATGTTATACTCTGTAACTGCATAAAATCAGGAAAATGATATGAAATTATGGATTTCCAACTTTCCATATTTTAAATGGCTAAATAACCATTTAAGTTCCTCATCTTTAATTTTCTCTCTCAAACCATGAACATAAATGACAAACCCTTTGATTCGTGCTTCCACTGCTACTACTATGCTATTCCAGTGCCCTGCCTCTCCTCTTAACTATGGCTCTGACTCCATCGCCCTAGCTCTGTTTTTCCATATTTTTGTTTCATGTTTCCGTCGATTTGTGTATAGGTTCTACATTATCTCTCCATGACGTCGTATCTGCTCCATTCTCTCTGAGAACCAAAAAACCGAAAAAAAAACCCTAGACGTTGTTTTTTTCTTTATTATCTCGCACTTGGTAAGTAGTTCTTGCTTTCAATAAACTCATATTTTTCTATTGTTATGATGGAATGCAACAAAGAGAAATCGCATTATTCTCAACTTAGTGTTCCTATGCTAGAGTATAACCCCCTGAAAAGCTTAGTAAAGCAAATTATGTGTTTATAGTCTATTCTGGATTAGGATTTACTTTTTTCCCTCAAACTTTCTACAAATTTTCAGGTGGAACACGCTACTTCTCATAATGAACTATGTTAGAAGTTGCATACTTGATTCCATAGAGGCACACAAAGATTTTATAGTGATTGTTACTTTGAAATTAAGGGAAGCAACCCCACCTAGACCCCAACCTTTTTCTTTCGCACCTCACTTTTCTCATCTTTGTTAGTCTCTCAGGCTGATCACCACTGAAAAGGAAAATTTTGTTATACATGATGGTGGGCTGTTGATTTTGTTTAATTTGGAGCAATAGTCAAATTCTTCCAATTTGACAATTCAATAACTCTTAGGTTTCAATATGGATTTGTTAAATTCGTTTTGAATCTCTGTTTTATTGATCGTCCTACATCTGTGTGGTGGTTGTTTGAACTTATCAACTTTCATTCATTGTTTTTTTGGTAACATCCACACTACATGTCGAAGTATCCTCTCGATTTTTTGCAAATAATCATGATTCATAAGTTTTCGAATAGAAAAAAAATCGCCCACTTCATCAAAAGTAAGAGATCACCCTTCTTAACCTCTATTATTCAATCAAATTCCATTCGTAAATGAAATTGGGCGTGATAAATATTTTTCAGGTGAATCTGTAGGCAAAAAGATACGATTCATCTTTTAATCTTTTTTTGAACTAATGCAACATAATACGTTTATTTTAAGGATGAAGGGGCAATTTGGTCAAAATCTCTTTTGGTTAACTTTTTTATTATTTTTTAATACTTGGAGTTTGAATGGCTTGGTCAAACAATTGAATCTGTATTTGGATCGATTTCTTCAAGAAGTGATATAGTGAAATTTTGATTGAAGGGTATTTATGTCAACAAGGGAAAATTAAAGCAAATTTTTTGGAAGTTGGTATCTCTTTGATTTGATTTTGATTGGCTAAGGAGGGGTTTTTTTTGTAGATTTCATGGGTTTTTGGTCCTCCTATTCTTGAATGGATTATCAATGGTAAAAGGAAAAGAAAAATAAAAAAAATGAATTTTAATTAGAAGCGTAGTAAAACCATTTGGAGTTTTATAATCACAAATCTTGAAAACTATTCTTTCTTAAAAAGCAACAGGTTTGACCCTTGGAATTTGGATGTTAAGAAGTGGTTTTTCTCTCCAACTTAACTAAAGGGCAGTTTGGAATTATCATATATGGAAGGTGTTCAAATGCAATTATGATATTCATAAAAGTTGGAAATTAAAAGGAACTAATCGGTTTTGATTTAGCATTTGTCCTTATAAAATTGCAATGCTTATTGGTTTTATCCCGATTTTCATAAGGTTTTTACCTTGTGAAGTGTTTTTCTGTTTTTTTTAAATGGGTAGAATCCCCATTTTCCAAGGTTCAAAACGTTCCGGTTCAATTCCGAGAATTTTAGTCGTTTGGTTTTACCCTTTTTTCTAAAAAAAGATGTAATTGACCGGTTCAATCCCGAAAATTTTAGTTGTTTGTTTTGAAACATTTTTCTATAAAAACATTATTCAATTCAGTTCAAATCCGAGACATTTTAATAGTTGGTTGGTTTCACCATTTTTTCCTAAAAAAATATGTATTTGACCATTTAAACTCAGGTAATTTTAGTTGTTTGGTTTGTAGCCGTTTTCCATAAAAAAAAATCCATTTAATGAAATCCATTCATAGTTTTTGAAGTAATTTCTCATTCTTAAATATGTACAACCTATAAATACTTTAAGCGATTTTAATATATAAATATGTTGTGTAAGGGTTATCGTCGGAATAGAATCAAGTATTCCATTCAATTCCTTTCATACCTGATACAATTTTTTTTTACTTTTTCTGATTCCAGGCTCAACAACATCAGCTTCATTATAGGATTCTTCTACCATAATTGGATTTTTCAGGATTCCAACTAAGAGGACATCGTTCCTTGGTTATGGAGGTAACTTACACATTAATATACACAATCACATTTTAACTTTTATCGATTTTTAACACGATAAATTCTTTAGTTGATCTTTTCGTTGTGTTAAGCATAAACCCCTAATTTTCTAGATTTGTGTATTTTCTTAATAATGTTGATAAGGTTAATCATATTAAATTGAATAAGTTACTGGTTAAATTTTGCTAATTCGTCTTATAATCATCTAACCCATATGGACGAGTCTACAAAGTTTATAATCAGGAATGAGAAAAAGTTCATTTAATCATTTTACATTTTTACATTTCTCTTTGTTGTTGGAGCCCTAAAGGTTATAGTACAACTAGCTCATCCTAGAAATACAAGATGATACAACCATGGTGGGATCGACATGAATCTTTTTGACCGTTTTGCACGAGTTGTCAAAGTTATTGGATATTATTTCATATAGTTTTTAATATGTTTGGCCTTAATTATCATCCATGAAGCATTACTTAATGTATTAGTTGCTCTTTTTGATCTTTTACAAGCATAATACTATGCAAATACAATTGTTAGCATCTTTGAGGATCCATATAACATCTTAGAGGTTTTACAAGCATAATAATATGCAAATACAGTTGTTAGCACCTTTGAGGATCCATATAACATCTTAGAGGCTTAGAGCAATAGCTTTAGTTTTTTCTGTTTTAAACTTGATTTCATTTAATTGTATCTTAATGGATTGCTACTCTTTTAATTTATTGTCTTTTAATCTATTTATATTCTTTTATTCATTCATATAGATATAAAACATTGATTATTTATTATATTTTTATTTTAATATAGATTTCCATGATTTTATGGATATCAGACATTGATGTAAATAAAACTTTCAGTACAAAGTGTTGAAAAAACTTTTCAGCTTAGAAAAGCATACATGAATTTGTTGGAGAAACCAGAGTCTAAACTTCAGGTTGTTCTTATTAATCTTTATCAACATATTTTTTTATGATTAATTACATTTAGCATGAGCATGAACAAAAAAATATTAATAACTTGGTGTGACCACAAATATAGACTTGGTGTATGCTTTTGAATGACAATGTTTCTTTTTACATTTAATGGCCACAATATGCGGATTTACAAATCAAATGGTATTCTACATCTGAAATTCGGAATTTGATTTTATTAATTTGATAAATTGTTTTTTTTAATTACAATGTTCATTATGTTCTCCTAGGTATGCATGTGCGTGTTCTCAATAAACCTGGCTCCCAACTTCTTGGAGCCAATGGCCGTGATGATGACCCACTTGTAAGTTTTAATCAATTTTCTTTTATATCTTATTTATATATATTATTTATATTATTTTGTTCTTTTTACCAATATAAGCCATGTATGTTTTTTCTATTTATAATAAAAATGCATATACTTTTACTTACCTATAATGGCAACATACTTCCATTTTGACTGATAATAGCAATATGTAATCCAAATAGCAACATATTTATATTTCTTTACATTATATGATACACTTAAAAATAGGGATAGCTTATATATTTCATCAATTGAACATTTAATTTTCCCTAACGATTTTGAAAAAATAAAAATTGGACTTTACTTATATATTTCTAGATGGAATTTCAGATCTTTTGATTTTTAAAACTGTCATTTTATAACCATTTTTTTTAAAGGAAAACATCTTTTATTTTCAAGAATAATGCTTTGGCATTTATATGTGGTTTGATTTTAACATTTTAGTTAAGTTCTTTAGCTTGTGATGGAACAAGACAATGACATCTCAACATGGAAATGGCTTCTTAAGGCATGTATTTTTTAAATTCTTTATTTCTAGCATGTTGAAAATATTTTGAATTTCTTATTAATATCACACATTCATCTTTGCTTTTTTAATATTTTGGGTGGGTGTCTGTTGGAGGAAAAGGTACTGTAACACCCAAAGTTTCGAAGACCAAGAAAGGAAAGAAAACCCTAAGTTTAGGGGTCAACTCGGCGAGTCCGAGCGGGATCCGGGTCAGGGAGTAAGTGACCGACTCGGCGAGTCGACCAAGGAGACTCGGCGAGTCTGGTCTGTGCGAGG